CCAACACTTGTGTCGCTGCAGGAGGCCGGAGCGTCTGATCTCGTCCACCACCAACTGTCTTCTCTGAGCGTAGAGGAAAATAAAACTGGACAGTGCTAGGAGCGGCCGCGGCAACGAACAACGTGACGCATTCATCTCTACGGGTCACCCTACACTCTTGAGGAAGATGCTAATATAATATTTTTTAAGATAAAAGTTTGCTCTTGACTCAAAGAAAAGCCCGGGTCGTTTAAAGTTGACGCTGAAGCCGTTTTAAACGAGATCATTCTGGAGCGGACTCCATCTTTGTAGTTTAGTCTGTCCCTGCTCCGGCGATAAACCCGCCCCACAAACGTAGAGCGCTGGGATTGGTCAGACACAGGGGTGGACTGGGACCAAAATTCGGTCCTGGCTTTTTAATGATTCGTCGGCCCTCCCCATTGGGAGAGCAGTGGGGGGTGTTGCCTCCCGCGGACTCGTCTCCAGGCCAAATGTGAGATCCAATATGGACTGGGACTGTTAATTACAAGCAGGGTCAGACCGCTGCGACCGGGAGCCCTGGCCTTCCAGATCAACTCATTCTCCACGGGTGGAGGCGGAGTTCAGCGGGACATTAGCTACATGCTAACGCAGTAAAACAACTCCTATGTCATTGCTCTACCGCGTTTTCTTGCTAAAAACGCCTGGAAAACTCTGTTAGCTTCGGGTTAGCATGTAGCTAATGCTCTACAGATCACCAACTGTGGAGTCGTGTCGGCCCAAGCTGGGCAAGCAGCCCACTTGGCTAAGCGGCCCACCGGGACAGTGCCAGAATGCCAGATAGGCCAGTCCACCCCTGGTCAGACATCTCTGATCAGGCCAATGGTAGACCTGCTGCTACAGTGGGGCGTGGCTAGACCCACCCGCAGAGCTAAACCTGGTTGGCTAACGCTTCTCTGCTATCATCCCAAAAGCTTTGTCTCTGTGATCAGGTCCGAGGGAGACGTCTGTAAACCAAACCTGTTTATTTAGCAGGAGAAGGATGAGGAAGTAGTGGCTTTGTGACCCACGCACACACGCACACACGCACGCGCACACACACACACACACACACACACACCCACGCACGCACGCACGCACACACACACACGCGCACACACACACACATGTCGCTGAGTCTGATCTTCTAGAAGTCACCACAGTAACCTAAAATAATTCATCTCCTGTCGGTTAATCAGCCTCCCTCCTCGGTCCTCCTCTGTCTGTCATCTCCTCTCTAATTGGGATTTATAGGATGTACCCCCCCCCCCCCCCACACACACACACACACACACAAACGGGGCACCATCCCTAGCCCTGTTGGTGACAACTGAAGGCTAACAGGTGGCGCGTCGTGAGCGCCCCGTCGTCGTGGAAACACGCGGTGCGCGGCTCACAGAGCTGCAGATCTGTTTTATTGTTTATGCCGCTGCTGACTAATCAAGACAAGAGAAGTCGAGCTCTTCGGGGATGGTTCTGCTGCTCAGAGCCGGGCCAGTTTCCTTTATTACGTGTTGAAGACAGATTCTTTCTGGCACCAGCGCATCTCTTTGCTTCGTATTAACACATTTTGGTGTGCGTCCCCTCAGACCTCAGCTGTTGCTGATCGTTTACTCTGTCTGAGCTCGTGTGCAGCCACGCATCATTAAGCTCACCTCAGGGAACTCTGAAAATGAAGAACAGCTATGATCCCAGCGTGTGCCTCCTGTTCGCTCAGATGAAGTCGTTCACACGTTAAAAACTGATTGTTAGAAGAAAGCAGCAGTTTGAATAATTCCACCTGAGTGGATTCCCAACAACACTCTCCAGATTACACCTGAACTTCTGTCTTCCTGTCAGATGTCTGTGTGCATGCAGCTGTAGCAGCTAAAGGTGGTTTACTTGTTGCTCCAGGTGATCCGGATCCAGAGGGGCAGGGCTTCTGTCAGGCGGGCTTCAGCGTGGACTTCACCAAGGTAACGGCTGCAGCAGCTTCCTGCTAGCGTAACGCGGCCCTCACAGATTTATGTTTGTCCCCGGAGAGGCCGGCGCTCCCACACTGACCCACCGCCTCTTAACACGCTGACGTGCACACAGTCTTTCACTGTCTAGTCTGTTTGAACCCTGACCTCCAGCTCACGGTACGACTTGCCCTCCCCCTGACCCTGACCCTCCCAGCAGGATGCCAGCAGAAGTCACACGTGCACACTCACAGCTCTAGGCACACAAAGCATCATCAGAGTGACTAACCAGGTCGGTTGTTTCCATTCCAGGACGGGCGGCTGGTTGTAGGAGGACCAGGAAGCTTCTACTGGCAAGGTATCTACAGGTGATCTCCAGACGGGGGTGGGGAGGGGGGACAGAACCCAAACCAGAAAGGTACCATTTCTGCTTTTAGCACTCTCAGCGCTGCTTCTGAGGTGCACCTACAGGTGAAAGTGGAAAAACTAGAGTCTGATGCAAAAGTCCATCCATGTCAGCTCAGACTGAGAGACCATCTAAAGGCTCGGGAACCCTCTGCAGGCGTTCTGGATCCATCAGCTGATCAGAGTGACCCTCTGAGTCTAGAATGTTGAACCTTTTCACAATATTCTGATTGTCTGACATGTTGAATGTGGCCTTTCGCCATAATCACCATTTATTACAACAGATCAAGGCTGAAACGTCTGGATTAGCCTGGAAAGAGTCGGTCTCGCCGGTTAGGCTGGATTCGTTTCCATTCTTCTACGTTCTCCTGTTTCTAAGTAGTTGGATGGGAAATGTTCCATTTAGAGAGAACATGAGTAAGAAACAGCTAGAGCAGCGTGCACTGGCCCCAGCTGGGCTCGATCACTGATATGATGTCACACGTCCTCCTTCGCAGCATCTTAAACAACGGTGCTTCTGTAATAGAGAACAATAACAGTTAGACCAGTCTGTTACAATAGAGCAACGTTTCTCTCCTTCACCCTACAACTCACAGCCCCTCGCTGGCTGTAGTCTAACAGGAAGTGAGTGTTTAGGTGCTATAATGAGCCGACTGGGGGGTGAGGGGTGGTAATGGAGTGTGCAGGAACTGCCCCTGATAGAGCACAGACAAGGGCACGGGGAAGCTCGGAGGAGAGCGAGGAGAAGAAGGTGAGAGGGTGCTGAGGCGATGACAGAGAAGGCGGGGAGGGTGGGGAGGTGTTGGAGAGGAGGAAAGATGGACGTCCTGCTGGATGAAAGCTGGAGGATTACATGTCCTAATAGGTGTAGCTGCAGCGGGACGTGCTGAAGCTGCTGGCGTGGAGCAGAACTCCTCCAGCTCCAGGTGTCACCTACACCTCGTTGTAACTTGGCTCCGCCTGCAGGGTCGGGACAAACTTCAAAACGTTCTCTTAACTTGAAACAGTTTTTGTGGACTTTATGTCTAAACCTTTATTTTGCTGTCCTTCCTGGTTTTTGCACAGGCTTAGTTTGACTTTTACAGTTTTAGGAGATTCTAATGGAGTCACACGCGAACGTTTCAGCTCTTCTGAACCCTCTTGCTGCTGCCGCTGATGTTCTACAACATATTCTCTTCAGACATCACACCAAAGGCCTTTTGGCAACGCGAGCCCGCGTCTCGTCCCGCGTTACTTTAGAACCGGATTGATGTTGGAATTTAAACTTCATTCAGAAGCTGCATTTGCACCCTTCAGAGCGGGTTACAGTGTATTTTTATGCCTAGCGCCGATGCTGCTGTTGCTAAATCATGAACGCTCCAGCAGTGCGTGGCATGCAGCAGAGAAAGCCCAACGGACCGCTCCTCCTCCTCCTCTGTGCAGCATGGCAGGGTAGGCTGCCTCCAGTTTAAACACTTCCTCCAAATGTTTATAAAAGCTCTCAGGCTGCCTTTCATGGCCTCTAATATACAATCATTATCTACAGCCTGATTCCTCATAAAAACTCCTTCATAACGTCTTGTTGGTCGGGAGTAGCCAAGCCCTCAGACGGAGACGTCTGCGTGAACAGTTCGGCGCATTAATCAGACCAGAGTGGAAATGTCGGCGTGAGATAAAGTCGAAGTGAGCCGGGAGAGGAGTTAGGAGGAGGGTGAAGAGGGCACGTCAGAGCGTTCACACATAACGGAGGATTTATGGAAGTCTGAGGGCGACCGTAGATGAAGGCCGTTGTTTGTTTGACCTCCTGCTCAACAGCAGAGGAAGGCTGTTGTTTGTGAGCACACCGATCATCTTAAATCCCCACCGCAGAGACCAGAGCTGCTGGGAGGGGGTCCCAGTTAAAACCAGTGTGTGTGCGTGTGTGTGTGCAGGCCAGGTGATGACAGCAGGGGTAGCTGAGATACTGAACGGCTACTCCTTGAAGGCGGTGCTGAGACGAGTTGCCGGAGAGAAACAAACCGTAATGGCGGAAGACACAAACGATGACAGTTACCTTGGTAACAAGCAGCACCTCCCTCACAAAGCCTGATGCTACTGATATTCATCACGGTGAGGCATACTAAACCTTTACCTGTGTCTGTCTAGGGTATTCGGTGGCAGTGGGAGAGTTTACGGGAGACTCAGCACAAGGTGAGCAGCGTCCCTGTGTCTGTCTGACTCGTGCAGCAGCTGCATGGTGGGAGGTTTCTGCACGGCTGGGTCACAACCCCTGAAGGACAAGACGTCAGGAGCCCTGATAAAGGGATTTCCTGCCCGCCATTTTGACTGATTAGAATGATTACTGGCAGACTCTGAAAACCTCGCAGGTCAAGAGCCGGTCCAGGTTCTCATCTGGACGTGAAATACGGGGTGCAAAGAGACTCGGACTCGTAAAACAGGGGGTTATCGTTTGTGTGCCCTCAGGTGCAATTATCGTAAAGACAGAAGGTTCTTCAGAGGATGACTGTGTGTGTGTGTGTGCATGTGCATGCGTGTGTGTGTGCGCGCGTGTGCGCACGTGCGTGCACGTGTGTGTGTGCACGCATGCACGTGAGTGTGTGTGTGTGTGTGTGTGTGTGTGTGCATGTGCATGCGTGTGTGTGTGCGCGCGGTGTGCGCGCGTGCGTGCACGTGTGTGTGTGCACGCATGCACGTGAGTGTGTGTGTGTGCGTGTGTGTGTGTGCGCGCGTGCGTGCACGTGAGTGTGTGTGCGTGTGTGTGTGTGTGCGCACGTGCGTGCACGTGTGTGTGTGCACGTGTGTGTGTGTGTGTGTCGTGCATCACTGTCTCTAAATGGTGCTTTTTCATCACTTGGGGGATAAAACGTAAATAAAGTAAACAGTTACAGATGTCTCGGGAGTATGAAAATATCTATATGGCGATTTATCGTGATATTTTTTGCAGCGATATATCGACATTCAAAAGTTGTGTATCTAATTTTTGGAAGGATTTACTTGCAAGTAGTTGAGTATTTTCTTTCTTTTGGTGCAGTTCAAACACCGACCACTAGTTGGCAGCAGTGTGCTGTGGGTTTTGTTTCCACCGTTTGGGCGACGGTGGCACAGGAGTTAAGTGCTCGCCCCGTAATCGGAAGGTTGCAGGTTCGAGCCCCGCTCAGTCTGTCGCTGTCGTTGTGTCCTTGGGCAATACACTTAACCCACGTTGCCTGCTGGTGGTGGTCGGAGGGACCGGTGGCGCCAGTGCTCGGCAGTCTCGCCTCTGTCAGGGCGCCCCAGGGCAGCTGTGGCTACATCGTAGCTCATCACCACCAGTGTGTGAATGTGTGTGTGAATGGATGAATGACCGATTGTGTTGTAAAGCGCCTTGGGGGGGGGTTCTAGGACTCTAGAAGGCGCTATATCAAATGCAGGCCGTTGAAATGTAAATCCCTCTGTTGTGGTGCAGATACGTCGTGTGAAACGTGTTACGTATCATTTTTAATTTTCCTATAATGAATTCAGTCTAAAAAATCTCTAACGTCTGACTGAAAGTATCGTAATACGTCGTATCGTCTCCATATTGGGATACGTATCGTATCGCCAGAATGTCACCAGTACACATCCCTACAGATGTCGATGGGAACATAGCCGCTGTAGCCTGTAGCTCCAACAGCACAGCCATGGCAGTTTCTGCCTAGTGACTCGTACTACATGACAATAAAGTCTAGGTAAGTAAAGTTTATTCATAACACCTGTCACAGGTAAAATCACAAAGACATAATTAAATAATAGGAATGAATACGTGATTAAAAAACCAAACAATAAACGATCCTTTAAAAACAAAAATATAACAAACAATGACAGAAACACAAAATACATTTAAAATGTTTAGACTGAAGATCTAGGAGCTAGGAGGCTAAAGGTGAGTGGTAACCAGGTTAGGGAGGGCGTAGGTGGCAACAGAGACCTTCAGGTGACCTTCGACCCTTTGGTCTGGCTGGTGCGTTTAAGGACTGCAGGATAAATTCAGGTCAGCGTTTGGACGACGTGTCAGAGCTGGTTTTGTTTCATCACTCATTTCAGTGCAAAAGAAACAAAAACAGGAAAAGCTGCCACACACACACACACACGCACGCACGCACGCACGCACACACACACACACATGTTACTGTACTAATCGGTGGGATCTCTGGGACAGCTCGGGGCTCACCCCCTCATGCTCGCTGTGCTGTGGCGCTGAAGCTCGTGGTCGTGTCCTAAACGCTCCTCAGACAGGAGGACTGCTTGTGACTGGGACTTGTGTGTGAAGGAGAACAATCAGGCTGGTGGTGGAGCCACAAGGCAGGAAGTGGGGGCTTCTCCTCTCCCTGGGTGGGAGAGCTGCACTCATCCATCACAGTAAAAGCCGAGTCTGAGCAGCCAATCAGCATCGCGCTGCTGAGGGACGGGTCGGCGACTCAGAAGGTCTGATGGTTCCACATCCGAGCGCCTTTTCACACCGTTTCTCTTGTTCCTCAGAGCTGATAGCTGGAGTCCCAAGAGGAGCACACAGCTTTGGATACGTGAGTATGGAAGGTCATTACGCTGGTAATAACGTAATCATAACAATGTAATGATCAGAAACCCCAGAGGGAAGGATTCATGTATGAGTGAGATAAACTCAGTCCTGAGCAGACCAAGTAGTTCTGGTGGAGTACCAGTACACACACAGTACTATCATGCTCTGCACCGTGAGTCCAAGTTCTTTAAGTTTCTCTGAAAACGTCGTTACTTCCTGTTCTCCACCAGCAGGAAGAGGGAGTGTTGGTTAGAAACCCAAAACCGATCCGATCATAAACGTTCTCATGACGCCTTCGGTCTGGCTGACGCTGGTTCCTGCTGCTTCAGAACATCGTGACCTCTGACCCTTTAGCGGTTCAGACACAAAACAACGATAACGTGGTCTGAATCTGCCTCGAGTCTCGTCCTGCAGGAAGACCCAGACTGCAGTGAGACGGCGGAGACGTTGTTTAACATCTCTAACGTGTTTACCACAGAAGAGAACATCCGTCTGATTAAAACACCCGCCGCCAGAGTCGGTCGTCCGTATGAGTCCCAACTGTCGGAACGGCTGCAGCAGCATCCACACGGTCCCCGGGGTCGGTCCTCCCTAACGACGCGCCGCTTCCACTTCATGTGGAGGGCAGCGACCCTGCCCAACCCCTCTGACCCCACACACACACACACACACACACACTCAGTGGCAGTCCGACTTATGTCTGGACCTCATTCGGTGCCATGAGGCTCTTGGTAGGTGAAGCAAACAGGTAACGCCATGTTAGAGGCTCGGTTCTGGGTCCAATCAGGACATTACAGCAGAGAAAAGTTCATCATCAAGCTACAGATGTCACGTTTGTGTGTGTGTGTGTGTGTGTGTGTGTGTGTGTGTGTGTGTGTGTGTGTGTGTGTGTGTGTGTGCGCGCGTGTGCATGTGTGTGTGTGTGTGTGTGTGTGTGTGTGTGTGTGTGTGTGTGTGCATGTGTGTGTGTGTGTGTGTGTGTGTGTGTGTGTGTGTGTAGCCCCCAGCGGTCTCCATGTGGTTGTTATTTTAATTCTTATGAAGGAATTCTCAGCCTCCCCGCTCCGTCTCGTCCTGCATCTGGGTTGAGATGGGGGTAGAAGAGAGGGGGGGGGGGGGGGGGGGGGGGTAAGGACACGAAGGGGGTGATGGTGGGGGAGGCAGGGGGAGAAACAGGTTGCAGCTGAGTTAAAGCTGCTTCTCTCTGCTGTCCTCTCACCTGATGCCACGTTAGTCGCTCTGAGTTACGCTCGATGCTCGTTCCAGGTGGCGATGATCGACTCCACCAATCTGACCTTCATCCAGAACTTCACAGGAGAGCAGGTGAGAGCTGCAGGAGTGCGCTGGGTTGTTATTCTTGTGGGTTAGGGTGTCTGACAGACGTGTCCTTGCTTGTCCCTCAGATGGCGTCCTACTTTGGCTACTCGGTGGCTGTGTCCGACCTGAACGGAGACGGGTATGTGGGAGCAGAGCGCCGCCTTCGCTGCTTTGGTTTTACTAAATCCCTTCTGACTCTGCCCAGGACGGATGACATCATGGTTGGAGCGCCCCTGTACATGGAGAGGGAGACGGAGACCAAACCCAGGGAGGTGGGGAGGGTTTACCTGTACCTGCAGCTGGCTCCGCTCACCTTCTCCACACCTGTGGCTCTGAACGGCACCTACACGTTCGGACGCTTCGGGTCGGCAGTAGCACCGCTGGGAGACATCAACCAGGATGGATTTAATGGTATGCTGAGAATTCCAGAAAAAAGTCTCATGCCCCGCGTGTTCTGCTGAGGTTGGAGTTCTGCGGTCGCCCGGGTAACGAGCAGCAGGTTTTCCTCCTGATGCTGTCAGGCTGTTTCTCTGAGGGAGGAAGTCCTATCAAAGCTCCTCGGCCGATCAGGAAGTGCGGTGATGAAAGGTTGTGTGTGTGAACTTTCCTCCTTGTCGGGTTGAGGCCACATGCGTGCCGGGGCTATATTTACCTCACCAGATGTGCCCTGAGATAAAATCATCTGGGAGTTTCTTTGTCCTGCAGCCCCCCCCCCCACCCCCCCCCCCCCCCCCCGTTAAAGATGATCTGGTCCCCGTGTGACATCACGCCCTCTGATGTAGTTCTGATGTGCTCCTGGCCAGCGTGTGTGAATGTGCACATTAGCCAGCAGATCAGAGACCGTAGGACCAGAGCTGAAGCTTCCTGGCTGAAGTCGTTCATCACATCTGTTGTCTGGATCCTCTGAGAGCCACAAACGCTCGTTAAGAGTTACTTTAATGAGCTTATGAACACATTATTTTGGGTTTTGGGACAGAGCCCGTCTGGTCGGGGCTTTAGATACTAGACCGTACCCGTCCGCCTTTAAATCCTCCATATCTGTAAAAGATTAGAGACGCTGGAGCACGAGGTCGTCTCTGGATCCTCTCCCTTCTCCCACAGCTCAGACCTCCTCCATCCATTCCCCACATTCTTCCCAGAGCAGAACCATCCCCATTCTCTCTCATCTTTGTTGTTTTTCTCAGCGGCAGCTGTGGGACCGTACCATGCAGCTGCTTCAGTTTGCCATGCGGCTCTCTGTGTTGGCTCCTCCAACGCTGGCTCTGCTGTCGCCATCGGCCACGAGCGAGCGAGCGGCGGCGTCTGCCGCTTTGACCCCTCTAGTTTTGGTTTCGGTGATCTCGGTGGGTGTTCTGCACCGTGTGGGACGTTGTTGAGCAACACCAATCAGCGACTTTCACGTCATTTTTATAAAAATGAGCTTATTGTTTTTTACACAGCTATTCAGTTATGTCCACACACACACACACACACACACACACACACACACACACACACACATGGTTGCACTTATCCTGTCTAACCCACAATCTGCTTCATGTGGAACCAGTTGTTTAGGCTGGGGGGGGCGGAGACAAACAGGATGTCTCGAGGACACTCGCTGTCCTGACAGGTGGGACAGTCTCATACGTGTAAATCCTCACCTCTGACTCTGTTCAGCGTCTTTTAAATCTTTGGTTTCTTCAGGTTTTCGTATCAGAACCGTTAAAAGCAGCAAAACCGTTTTTACGGGTTCATTTGGACTTAAATTAAAGTCTCAGCTTAAACTGAAGCATTAATATTCTGATTAGTTGTTTTTTATATGTAGAATTAAATCTGCTTATTA